AAAAAAAAAACTGAATGATCAATTGTTTCTAGGTCAAGATTTGTGAAAAATACTTTAGTATTTCCATCTATCAAGTAAACCTCAACTGATCTTCCCCTGTAGGTCTAAGCGTATTTTTTCTCCTCTTCGCTAGCCTTACTAAACAAACATAAAATGCGTGTGGAATGACGCCGCACTAAAGTATTTTTACTATCTTAGGTTCTCCGCAAAGGATCTGGTACACTTTGCGAAGCACTTCTCATGGTGGAGGCATTTCACAATAATATTATATTCCCAAATAAATTCACCGGAGACGGTGAGACAAAGATGACAAAGGATGGACATCGGTTAGTTGTGATGCGAAAAGTCTACGTCATGTAGTGAAATGGAACAAAATATTTGCAGAGTCGAGTCCGAAACTTACGTTGGAGGACACGTGGAAGCCTTAGAAGCAGGAGTATTTCGCGCGGATATTCCTTGCAAGTGAGTTGAGCATGCAGATTCTTTTTGCTTTATAAAAGCACAGCTGTGTCTGCTTAGGTTTCGACTTACACCCGCTGCTTTAAAAAGCCTTAGGGACTCAGTTCCTGAGACCATTGAAAAGGAGCTGATTCGAGAATTTGGCATTCCTTTGGAAAATGTTGTAGATTTTGACGAGCGGGTGAGCGATTGTTTTACTGCATTGACTCGTACGTTATATTCGTCAAAAACTCAATTCTTACTTATTTTCTGGTATAAGCCACTCTTGTTCTAGTGCGCCGAGGTACAAGAGACATTTGATCATCTATTGGCCATTCCTGCCAGGTATATTTCACTTCTTTTTAGTTTTAGTCATCTTCGTGTTTACGATCTTTATGCACGACGCGATACAAAACTCCACATTTTGTTTCAGAATGGAAAATCCACGAATCTACCATCTGGATGTTGGCGCAATGTACCCTAACATCATCCTCACTAACCGCCTCCAGGTGCATATTCTCTAAAAAGTTTACCACATCACTATCTTTCCTACGAGGCAATAATTTCAGCCCTGCGCAATGGTGAACGAGGAAATTTGCATGGCGTGCACCTACAATCGACCAGATGCTAAATGCAAACGAACCATGAATTGGGAATGGAGAGGAGAATTGAGTGAGTAGCATTCACTGTTAAATAGAATCATTTTGAGAGTAAAACCCCTTACACACTTTTTTTGCAGCCCCTGCAACGCGTGGAGAATTACAGCAAATCATCCAACAACTTGAGGGAGAAACTTTTGGCAAACCACCGAAACCTTTTCACCAATTGGA